TGGTCAAAGGAGCGAGTCTGATAGAAAGTGAAGGTCAAGCAAAGCTTTATTTCACACCAAGCATCAAGAATCAAACTGACCGGCCAGGGACGTCCCTTGCAGAGAGGCGACCCCTCCCTGCCTTACAGACTAACTTTTATAGAACAAAGGCCATGTGGTTGGGCCTGGCCATACACAGGTGGCCAATGAGATTGTAACACACAGAGAAAGCTACACAGTCATGCTAGGTCACACACGGGTGGCCAATTGAATTACAATTCACCCCATAGTAGCTATTTTTTTTTTTTTTCAGTATTTAAAATATATTTTAATGAGAACACAATGATTTACATTTCTTAATACGAAACTGCTCTGGCCTTAGGACTTAACTTCTTCTTGGTCTATGGGGTTTAGATGCCACCGCACTAATTCCCCAGTGCTCTTGAGGCACATGTTGGACATGTCCTCCTCTGTTGGAAGTCCTTGGGGTAACTTCAGGGGCTTGATCCTTATCAAATGTTTAACCACTTTCAGTTTTGCATTCACTGAAGGGATATTCTTGTGAACTTGAGGAGTATGTGCTTTTTCTAGTCCAAGCATCTTTATTGTATCTTTTTCCCAATATGGACGTCTTTTTGTACTTTTTATTCTGGTAACAATATGCAGTTTATGAGGGTGCTGTGGTTCCCCACCATATTTTTCATGATCTGCAGGTGAAGGCTGAAATACTTTATCTGGAATTCTTGACTTGGTAAATTTGTGACGAATCCAATCCATGTAAATAAGAGACTCCATACCTTTTGTCATCGTTTGGAGTCTGCCTGGGGGCCTCTGAACTATTGAGCGCAAAATCCCCGCCATGAGTGTGGTGACGGTTTTCTTCTGAGGCTAGTGTAAAGTGAACAGTGTTAAGAAGAGCAAGCGCTACACTCAACCCCTGCAGTCACAGCCCCATAGTAGCTATTTGAACTAGCCTATCACTTTGGTCAGAATTGGCGCCCAAAAGGCGGGGCCCACACTCCTTGGTAGCTAGGGAGACAGTATGTGCGCCCCTCTGATTGGATGTCTCCACCTGCCCCGACTCATCCCTGCATTCCCTGCGTTCCGGCTGTTATCTCTACCTGACCTGACCCACCCTTGTATTTGGGCTTTGTTACCTGGGACTGGTTTCCCCGGACTTGCTTTTAAGTTGGGGGGGGGTGGGGGGGACAGGGTCAGTTTAAGTTTTACTGCATAAACAACAAAATGGCTGTTCAACCGAGGTGGGGCCGCTCTGGCTAAATAGGCGCTTACATAAACCACACACTTTGTTTTGATATTAATTATTAGCTTAGGACATAAACTTACAAATAATTAGACAATTGCATATCCCCGATTAGCACAGAATTCTGACAGATGGGTTTTGTCTGCTCTATTTTGGGCTGTGTGTGCCTTGTTGAGGACCATTTGGGGCCCCCTCATATTGAGATGGACCCAAGGTGACGTCTGCTGATAACTAGCTAGAAACAATTAACATCTTATAATGTACGACCTGCTCACGGATTTCTAGTAATTTTGTTTTTTAATTTTCCTTTCAGGCTTACTGCACAATCAGGATAATGCAGCCTTAGAGGGGGTTTCCATTTGTGTAGAAGTTTTGTATTTGAGATTACTGTGACCTCTGTCATCTAATTTGATCTTCACAAAAACAGGATGAGATGAGTCTCCACTGAAATAGGCTTCATCAGATACACAGATAAACTACCACTGAGAAGACTAAGGGACTTGCCCGAGATCTTAAGAGGCCAGAGCTCAGACTTCCATTTCTCTTCCCATCAGAAAATTCCCCCGTCTCCACAAAGCCTCAGAAGCACCACTGTCGTTGGGACCCCCCATGCGTATGTTTTTGATATCTACATACATCTTAAGAAAAGCATGGTCGGGACCAGTAATAACCTGCTAGGTGAATAGAGAAGGGGTTTGCTGAATTTACTATTTGAGCAACTTATAGTAAGACACAATATATAAACACCCACTAGAATGTATTCTAAAAGCACTTACAGAGTAAATGTTTAACATGTATAACGATGCTTTCTTATTTTTGAAACCCTGGTTCAATTATTTTTATGTGGCTACTCTGGCTTTGGATGCTTGCACTAGTAATTTAAAAATAGGACAAGGATTTAGATAAAAGTAAATGGGCTGTGTAGGATTAGTCCTAGGTCACTTTACCTGCAATTATGAAAGATTTTTAGCATTTTAACTACTCCCTGTTATAAAGAGTAACACACAAAAAAGCCATTATAAAATCTTTAACTTCAAAATGCACTGACCTAACTTTATGAAATATTTACATATATACATATACATATATATGTATATATACATTCATTTTATGAATTATCATCACTTGGTACGTGTGTTACTTTCTTTTTTGTGTGAGCCACATCTACTTAATAGAGTACTTTCATTAAACAATTCTGTGTTAAGGAGCCATTTTTAATAAAATCTAATTTAATTAATTTCTTTCTTCCTTCTTTTTTTTTTTTTTTTAACCCCAGCTTTACTGGAGTAAAGCTAACAAAATTGTAAGATATTTAAAGCCTACCTCGTGATGATTTGATATATGTATATATTGTGAAAGATTCCCTCCACCAAGTTAATTAACACATCTGTTATTTATTATTTATTTATCTGTTTTCTTTTTTTGAGAAAACACTTAAGTTCTACTCTCAGCAAATTTTAGTTATACCACAGTAGTCACCATGTTATTCATTAGATCCTCAAACCTTATTCATTTTATGTAATTACATTTATTTTAGAGTCAGTTTCTGAAGCTACAGTTTATAAGTTAACCATTCTCAGAACTTTTTATCTGTAAACAAACATGAATTGGCTTCCCGGTGTATGCGGATCACTGTGCTTGGCCCCGTGTAGATGGGAGGACAGGCAGTGTGGTTGTTACAGGATTCGGGTCCTTGGACCCAGCAACAGTAGAAATGAGACTGGACCCAGTGTTTAAAAGCACAGGCAGATAAAAAAAAATCAAATCTTGCTATTTGCGACGACGTGGATGGAACTAGAGGGTATTATGCTTAGCGAAGTAAGTCAGTTGGAGAAAGACAACTATCATATGATCTCTCTGATAAGAGGAAGTGGAGATGCAATGTGGGGTGTTTGGGGGGTAGGAAAAGAATAAATGAAACAAGATGGGATCGGGAGGGAGACAAACCATAAGAGACTCTTTTTTTTTTTTTTAAGATTTTATTTATTTATTTGACAGACAAAGATCACAAGCAGGCAGAGAAGCAGTCAGAGAGAGAGAGACGGTAGCAGGCTCCCCGCTGAGCAGAGAGCCCAATGTGGGGCTAGTTCCTGGGATCATGACCTGACCTGAAGGCAGAGGCTTTAATCCACTGAGCCACCCAGGTGGCCCCCATAAGAGACTCTTAATCTCACAAAACAAATTTAGGGTTGCAGTAGGGAGGGGGGTAGGGAGAGGGTGGTGGGGTTATGGACATTGGGGAGCATATGTGCTATGGCGAGTGCTGTGAAGTGTGTAAACCTGGTGATTCACAGACCTGTACCCCTGGGGCTAATAATACATTGTATGTTTATAAAAATAATAAATAAAAGCACAGGCAGCTGCAGCTGAAGGGACACACAGTCAGTATGAAGGTGTCAGACTGATTCCCGGAACAGCAGCTTGAAAGGACACTGTTTAAGTGTGTAGGGCGGGAAATCCTGGGAATGGGGAACTCAGGCCCAGTGGACAGACAATGCTGCTTCAAACAGCTAATGTTTCATTTGCATGTTAAGTCTCCACCTCCTGAGTGTGATTTTTAGCATTGCAATGAGGTAAAGGTAACTGCTGGTCGCACCATTGTCCATCTTGGTGGGGGGGCTGATTTAGTGATTAAACTCTAACTGGTCTGGGTGGTTTGGGTTTGGGTGGCTCTTCTGGCAAACATCCATTATTGCTTGAGGGGCAGTCTTGGTTTCCTTCAGGGGATGCTGTGTTCCCTGGGGCTTTTGCCTGATTAAGAGATAAGCTGGAAAGAAGTACTTAAGGAGGAACGTGGGACAGAGGATGGTGGGTCCAAGCAGGTGAGCAGCAGCCGGTGAGATCTTGGGGTCTAGCTGGTGACAGAACTTTTGCTCGTTATTGGAATTTTACTTGAATTTACAAAATGTTCAGCACACATTCCCATCAAAATTATAAATTACATAGCTTTTTAAAAATTTTTAAATTTGAGTATAATTGACACACAATGTTGCATTACTTCCAGATGTACAACATAGTGATTCAGCTTCTCTATACCTTTGTCATGCTGTGCTCAGCACAACTGTAGCTCCCATCTATCACCATACAGTGAATTACAGAACTATTCTAAGAAACTGTTTTCTGATCCACTTTAAGTTTTCAAATTGTGTTATTTACATTATTCCTAAAAGTAGGTACCTCTGATTTTGAAGTTTCCTGCAAATATAAATAGCCCCAAATCCCAAAGAATACTTTTTTTTAAAAAATTCAATTTTATTCCTGATGTCTATTCAATGTCTGTATTTCTGTCAGAAAAAGCAGTCGGTAAATGAAGAAAGGGAAGAATGATGATTTTTTTCCCCCTCTAGGGTATCAATCTGGTGTTGACAGAGCCAGATTAGAAGTAAAAAAAAATCATTCTTTTCATTAATTGTTAGTCATGCTTCCATTGTTCAGAAAGTCAAAACTTGCTCTCACTTCTGGTAGAAAAGGAAAAATCAGAGACTAGGAAGAAGGAAATGAGTTCACCTTAGTGTAAATTTAAATATATTTCTCTCTTCCGGGGCGCTTGAGTGGCTCAGTGGGTTAAACCTCTGCCTTCAGCTCAGGTCATGATCTCAGGGTCCTGGGATTGAGCCCCGCGTTGGTGGGGGGGGGGGGTCTCTGCTCAGTGGGAAGCCTGCTCCCCCCCCACCGCCTGCCTCTCTGCCTACTTATGATCTCTGTCAAATAAATAATTTAAAAAATAAATAAAATAAATATATTTCTGTCTTCCTAGGAGAGAGCTATGTGTGTGGGTCAATAGAGCCCTTTAAGAAACTGGAGTACACCAAGAACGTGAATCCCAACTGGTCTGTGAATGTCAAGACCACCTCGGCTTCCCGGGCAGTGTCCTCACTGGCCACTGCCAAGGGGAGCCCATCAGAGGTGCGGGAGAATAAGGATTTCATCCGGCCCAAGCTGGTCACCATCATCCGAAGTGGGGTGAAGCCACGGAAAGCTGTCAGGATTCTGCTGAACAAGAAAACCGCTCATTCTTTTGAGCAGGTTCTCACTGACATCACCGATGCCATCAAGCTGGACTCGGGAGTGGTGAAACGCCTGTACACCCTGGACGGGAAACAGGTAAGAGGGGTATCGTGGGATGACTTCGACTTGACAGGAAAGAACCAGGTTGTTGGGGGATCTGTGTGGCACGGGGTGTCGGATGGGGGAGGGAATGTGAAACATGCATTTTGCTGAAGTTGAGGAAGTTGGCTCACGTGTTTAACAAATACATAGCTGTTGATCTCCATCCAGACCGAGGGTAGAGGTAGACAGGATTAACCATAGGAATAAAGCGAAATACCTATCTCTGAAGCTTAAATGATTACTCACAGACTTCTGTTTTTTCAGTTATTAATTACTTTACATAAAGGCGCTTTTTTGTCTTCTGTTTTCAATTTTTTTCATGTAGTAATGTCTTAGAGCCTTAAGCATGACTGAGACATAACCTCTGACCATTAGAGAAAAATCTAATTTCCTTTCTTTGGTTTAAATAATACTTTATGTCTCAGTAATGTTCACTAGAGAGATTTAAATTTTATGGATTTTACAGTACATATCAAAAGGATGAAATATTTCCATCTGAACAGCTTTAAGAGGCATATTTCTAGAATATTATACATCTTGTACTGAAAACATAGTTTCAGAATTAATAGCGAAGGGGTGTGTTTCTTTAGCTATAGAATGGTCATTGGTTGACTTGGATGAGAGGGCATTTAAATGTGAGTTGCTCAGATGAACTTAAAGGGAAATCTTGTGTGGACTTTTATAAAGGTTTGATAGAACCCTGATAGTGGGGGGCGTGCGTATCTATATCTATATGATATATAGATATATGTATAGATATGTAGATATCACTGATACATGCTGATATATGTAGAGTGCAAGTTGCTGGTCTCTCAGAGTTTATGTGTCTTTTTGTTTAAGATGATAATTTTTAGCGTACTATCTTTGCTCGAAATTTAGTTTTCAATGTACATCTGCCCGCATGGTTTTTAAAAATTATTTTGAGGGATAATTTGTATGTAGAGTACATATTAAAAATCAATACTAGATTCATAAATTAGAAGGTTAATCTTTAAAAAATAAAAGATTAATCTTTATTAAATAGAAGACAAGTTCTTGAAGGCTAACAAGCATTCAAATTTTATGAATTAGAAATAGATGCAATTACTAGAAAGAGTGTTAGTCATGAAAGAATTCCTCCCCTAGGGAGCCATTCAAATGCTCTAAATTACAAAATTCATTAGGAAAGAAGGAATATCTGCCAGTTGTTCATTTATATTCACCAGTCTTCTGCTTGTTTCATAAAACTTGTCTCGTCTAAGTGTCACGTGAAGAAGAATTCTGAGGGATGAAATTCTCAGTCTTCTAGATCTAAGCAGGCGTAGCCTGAATGTCATTGATCAAAAAGTCCATTGCTAGCTTGTGAATTACAGCAACATAAGAGAGCAGGGCTCACATTTAAACATTTGAGCCCGTTGGTGGTTCCTTTTGTAACGAGTCACTCAACCATCTTGTAGTTCTGCATTTTTGTATATTGGAGTTTCTCAAGATGACAGCTTACCTATTTTCACAAAAAGTAAAATACACAACAATGAATACAAATTGATATACCTTCCTCTTCTCCCCTCGCTTCAGAATTTTGGGGGTTCCAAAGTACTACACACTGAACCTAAAAACAAGCGTTAGCTACATTAGCTAAGTTCTACCCTCAGCTCATCATTTGTTTATTCCAAGAATGAATTCCTAAACTAGTTACGATGATGTTCTCAATTGTTTTCTTCTTTTTAGGAGTTTAATCTAGTGTCTGTATTTTATAATAGCTGCTTTTGCTGTTGTTTACATGTAAATAATATAATGTAATGGAAAAGAATCTAAGGTTTAATGCCAAAAGACCACAATTCAAATCTTGGTTTGGCCAGATTATTTATGTTTTCAGCAAATCACTTCACTGCGCCTCATACTTATCAATAAAACATAGATAAAATGACCACTTCTGTTTCATAGAGTGCTTGTGGGGACAATTATAATAATACATGTGAAAGCAATTTTGAACTGTAATAATAATGATCATAGCTTTATTTGCATTATTCTAAATGTTTTGCATGTATTAACATGTTTAATCCTCATAACAGTTGATTCCAATCCCCATTTAACAGAGGAGGATGCCAAGGCACAGAACTTGTTATTAAAAAAAAAATGTCCAAGACCACACAGTCGTAAATGGCAGAATTGGAATTTGAACCTGTCTCTCTCCAGAGATTATGCTCTTAACCACTGTACCACAGAAGATTATATTAAAACACTAAAGAGATGTGCATGTAGTGTGCATGTACTGAGAAAGAATTTCCAAGTGAGTAATTTGTCCAGGAACTATCATCTGAAAGTTTTCTGCTTTGTATTATTTTCCTGCGGTCATTCTGCTGATGGTTTTATTCAGAAGGGTGTGTGTGTGTGTGTAGCATTCGATTTGCTGTTGTGGCATGTTCTCTTCATAGCAGGAGTGGTGAAAAGCTGCAGAGGAATTGGAAGATAGAGTGGAAAGAATATAAAGACTTGTTGCTTGGGTTCCCAGTAGGAGCAAAGATGCTTCCTCTTGGAGCCCCGGAGTCTTTAGAATCATTTCTACTCATAAGGGAAATCTGCCCCCACGAGAGGTTTGTTAGAGTAGAGTGCTTTGACAGCCTTGGCAGAGACCAGGGCTTGATAGGCCTCTGAGAATGAGCCACTTTCCTCCCAGCCAGGTGGACTGGCAGCCCATGCCTCTGCCATTTCACCTTGCCCTGTGTGCTGTCAGCAGGATGTTATCCTTAAGATCACTCCTCTCACCTCTTTTTTGTTTGGATCGTGTAACAACTCTTGTATCAACTCCAAAAGCGCTATGGGAAATCCAGTGCCCAGTAAAGCTTTTAAAGGTAATTTTCCTTTTTGTATTGAGGAAATAGAACTGCTTAAAAATTAATAGGTTGAGTGCGTTGAATAAATGTGTAGAGAGCAAGCGATGTATGGGGCAGGGATGGCTTTTCAGATCGCCTTCAGGCAGCTTGCGGATGTATCTGTGGGACGGAGACTCATGACTCTGGGCTCTTTGACAACAGAACAGTGACAAATGAACAGTGAGAGCACATGCCTGCTGTTGCATCAGCCACCCAGGGATGGGCGCTGGAAGGTGGAGACCACAGGCCCTTCTCACTTGCTCCTCCTACCACTTGACTTCCTTGCTCAGTTGCCTTTGGGTGTGCTTTAGGCCTTAACCAAGAGTTCATTATACAGTGCTTTTGTTGTTGTTGTTGAGGTTTTTAGGCCCAGATAAGGAAATCAACATACTGGAAATACTGCACCGTGTAGAGAACATTTTGTAGGAAGCTGTAGTTTCCCCAGCTGACCGTTGAGGCTCATAAGCAGCCTGCTGATGCGCAGACCCTTTCTTAATCATTTCAAGTCCGTCCTTTATTCAGGGGCACTGAAGCTTCAGTAAATGGTTGCTGCAAACTTGCCTCCTCCTCCTCACATCTTTCAGGAGGCCTCTGCTCACCCTGTGATCAGGCACTTTCGTCAGCATGGCTGGGAGGTCAAGGAAATGCTTGCCTCGTCTTCATTTCAGTGATGCATTATTTATCTGGGCCTCAATCAAGGGCCCCCAAAGAAGGAAAAGAGGCCATTTTCTAGCTGACGGTTCTAATCACATTCCTTTTCTCCATATTCGAAGGGAGCTTTTGCAGGGTATGAGAATCTTTTCCTCTTGCCTCAGTCCAGGCACTGGAAGGTGGGAATTTTCTGTTGGTCATTCACTCACCCGGCCAAGCAGCTACTCCCAGAGGTCGTTTAGGGTATGACTATTTAGTGATTGAAATCAACCCAAAAGGTACAAAATTTGCTACAAAAGATACAGTCATATATCTCCTGACTCCTTTTTTGGAACAGCTGATCTGGCTGTCTTGAGCTGTTCAGTCTTCTAAATCTGTGATTACTGGATCCTTGCTTAGAAATATAAACAACGGTAAGCAAGTCTTAGAATAGCCAGTGCCGAAGCAGGTAATTTATACTGTCAAAATCACAGATAAGGCACTGCCCAATGACCGCCCCTTCCGCACTGAAATAGAGCAATGATAAATTGAGTTGCTCTTTAAGTAGAAAAGGTATGCACACGCCCATGCTGTCTACCCTCGGTATTGCAGATCTATATAAAACAGCAGCATCCATTAGTAGCCCAGGAGAAATGAGATGTTACATTTTTATCTTACAGACATGTCACGTAGGTTGTGCACTTTGTAAAATCCCCCGTTGCTAGCGTGCTGGAGTGAGCAAGGGGCTTGTTGTCTTCCTAACATAGAACACAGGGGGAGTCACTGAGCTAGAGTGAAGGTACTCATAAACTGGTTTAGACTGGTAAACTGTGAGAACAGACATCATCACTGCTGCCTTAACTCTGCATGGCTGTAGCGAAGTAGCACAGATTAGGGGCTTATCTACAACAAAAGTGTATTTCTCACCATTCTGGAGGCTGGAGTCCAATGTCAAGGTGCCAGCAGACCTGGTCTGGTGAGAACCCACTTCCTGGTTCATACAAAGTGCCTTTTGCAGTCTTCACAGGGCCGGAGGGGTGAAGGTGCCCTTGGCCCTCTTTTGAGAGGGTACCAATCCCATACTTGAGAGCTTCGCCCATATGTCCTAATCACCTCCCCAAGGCCCCACCTCTTAACACTATACCCTAATGGGTTAGATCTCATTTTATGGATTCCGGGGGGACACAAACTTTCAGACTCTAGTGCTGTGTAAAAGAAATCCCAGTGGCTGTCGGTAAGTTAATCAGTTACTACACTGTCTTCTCTGTGTCTTTTGATCCTTGAATCCCTCATCTATTACGAACACAAAGCTGGAAAGATGCTTATAAAGGAATCATAATAATTGCAGCCATTTATTTTCAGTAATTGGTATATGAGCTTATTGGAATTCAGGAAATGGTAATCTGGTCAGTAGGAATCTATCAATCAGATATCACAAGGTAGTCTTTGATTTTTTCCTTTTTTTTTTTTTTTTTAAAGATTTATTTGTTTAAGAGAGGGCGCACGTGCGCG